ATCTATTTTTAGGGTTTTTTTTTGTTTAAACCGCTTGTTTTGATTCTTGGGTTTATTACTTAGGATTATCATCGTTCACTAATAATGAACAACCCAAGAGACTGTTTTCTCCTTTTGGATATGTTACATTTGGTATTTCTACTTTTCTTATTCATTTGCTATGATTATTTATTTATTTTCTGTTCACCCGTTTGATGTTTGTTCATGTGATGGTAGGGTAAAGTTCCCTATTACCCTGAAAACCATTGACTAGTCAACATGTCAACGTTCCTTTAGTGTGCGAGCGTGCCACTGCTAGCAATGAGAAATCCTAGCAGACTTTGAAATAGATAACTTGCGCCCCAAGTTATTGACTTCTAAAACAAATGATTGTGAATTTGGGTGAGGAATATCTCTCAAATAAGTTCTTTTCTTGCCTTAGACTAGTGAGGACTTCACAATTTTTCACAGTACAAGGTTGGTAGTTGTGACCAGAATAAATGATAAGAAAATGAACTATTTTTTTGGTAGAACTGCCTTTTACAAAACTCAAAAGGGAAAAACCAACTCTAGAAAGATAAAAAGAAGGCTGAAATTCCATTTCTGCCTGGATAAATGCTTCTGATCCTAGTTGAACTGGGTATGGCTGTGCTGGACTGGACTGTCAACAACTTCAACTGCTGAGCTTTAGCTGTAAATCGATACCAAAGTTCGAGTTTGGTAGGGCTTTAATCTACTTCAAGCCCTGGAAGGCTTTTTGAGCAGGCAGAATTGCGGTTTCTTTAATTTGAAAGGGGGCAGAAGTGGCTGGACTTGAGGATTACTGAGCTGGAACTGCACTATGGTACCTGTTCTGCTTAATTTATTTTTTTCGTACTAATATTTTTCTTCTCTTGTTCAATTTAGGGGGGTCCAAATTCCCAGATATCAACGTCTTTGGCGACGTTTATGTTCGACCTGGGAATGAGTTGGCTGAGTCCCTTCATGTAAGTATTATTTAATTTTAATTCTTATGTTACGCATTCAAGTTTCAGGGTTATTATATGAATGTTTTAATTTATATTTTATGTTATGTTAAACAGACGACGACGGTGGAGAGGAGCCAGTTGGTTCTTCAGGAGTTCGCCTCCTAACTTCCTCCTGATACATCGATTGAGTATGTGGATCCTCCACAGGATGCTGGGTTTCATATCTTGACGGAAACTTTGGATCAGATTCTCGGGAGGAGGCCGGGGACAAATTGTCAAGGGATGGGGAATGCCCGGCAGAGGGAACCTAGACCCCGTTCATCAGCACAGTTAAATAGTCAGGTGACTGCTTTGACAGCAAAGGTGGCCAAGCTAAACAAAGACATAAAATTCTCCCAACAATCATGGATAGAAACCAATTCAATTTTTGAAAAAGCTAATTTTGAAATGCAGTGATGCATAGAATATAAGTTTAACCAAGCAAAGCATAGTACGATGACTTTGATCGAAACCCAAAATGCGAAAGAATCCAAAGTTGAAAGATTTCTTCTGTAACCAAAATTGAAAGTTTGACGACATTGAGTGAAACTAAGAAAACTAAAGATCTAGATTTGGCAAAGAGTGAAGAAAAATAATATTACAGTAAGGCCCGTTTGGTTCATGGGAAAGGAGGCTTGGGGATGAGAAATCAATTACTTTACTATGAATTATTGGCCTTTTTTTTGGGAAAATGAGCCAAAATTGAATATAAAATTTTTGTTAAATTTAGGGCTAGTGCAAACTCACATATATCATGTTAAATTTCAGAAAGACAGGTTAGCAGCCCACTCCTAGCAACACTGACATGATCCCCAACTTAACCACCTACAAAGCCCAGTAGGTGTGGGGTTTTATCACAAAAAATCTCGGTGATATTAGTAGTGGAACCATTCATTATATCTTGTATTTTATTTAGTCAAGTTTCCGATATGGGACTTATATTCTTCAACATGCTCAAGTTCGCTGAAAGGTCAAGAGCTCTATTTTTCTGATACTTGACAAAACTGAACAGCGGCTTTAGAATCACATTCTACCTCAAGGACAGTGTTCCTGAACAACTGTTTTTGTTCTTCTTTAATTTGAAAGTCTGAAAATGAATTTTAAAATTGTTAGAAGGATTTTCATTAAAGAAGAAGATGATGGACTCATTGAATAAATGCATGATTTGTTAGAAAAATTACGCAAGAGAAAAGCATACATGGATTAGACTAGTTGACCAGGATTAAAAAATTATTAATTTTTACAACATGATATCATATAAAATCACCCTATTGTCATGATGGTGTTGTACAGATTGAGTAGAATTGAACATGGTTATATATGAATAAACTCGACGAAGGAAACCCGCCGCATAAGAAGGTTTACCTATCCCGAAGAAGCATAATGTCCTTTTGAGTTTGTGAGACCAGTAGATCCTTGGGCTGAAAGCAGAAGCAAAGGATCCCCCGACATGATAATGCTTACTCATCATCATAGTCAAGTCATACTACAAACTAAACAAGCAAACACCATTGACTATCCACACGTTTATCCCCGCCATCAATTCAGCAGTTGAGGGAGACAACTTGGTGAAGCTCAATGTGGTGGAGGGTTATCTGAGACTTAGAGAGATACAATCAATTGAATTAGCTTTCAAAGTCACCTCCATTTGCCAGATCTCAGCACACAATAAATAAAGAAAGAGAGAGCCTTCATTTTTGACTTGTTGAAGTTCTCGGCACAACAAAGTTATGCAGCTAGCAAACCTGGAAGTTTTTTAGATTTGGCTCCTCACAGTCACAACTTTCAGTCTTGTTTAGATATAGGTCCTCAGCTTTGGCACTCCACCTCCCCCTTCGGTCATCCAAACCATGTTCCTATGGATTCCACATTCTTTACCCTTCTTCCTCTCCTCGTCTCAATTTTACTTTTCCCAAATAATCCAGATTATGTTGTACAAAGAATTTATTTTCTTAACCGTAATGATATATAAGTGAATTAACAACATCATGTGATAATATTACGCTCACGTCGAGAGTTTACTGCAGATTATGAAAGTAGCCTTTAGCAACTGAGAGAGACTGACTATTGAATTGCCAAATATATATCGTGTTTGAATGGACTACATGGAGCAAAGCATTTACTTTTGTGATATATATCCATTAAATGCCTCCAATAAGACCTTCACCACCTGTGCAAACTCCAAAATCTTTCGTCATTATATCCATCATCCAAAATCACAAACACTTTTGACTTACATGCGCATGCAATACCTATATATATATATCCAACTCTTCGTTGAATCGCAACCACATTTCTTATCCAGAACCCACAAAATGGACGTCAAGTTCCCCACCCTCCTCTGCTTGACCCTACTCTTCTCCGCCATCCTAAACCCAGCGCTCTCTGAGCTCTGCAACCAGGAAGACAAGAAAGTTCTCCTACAAATCAAGAAAGCCTTCAACGACCCCTACGTCTTGACCTCATGGAAGCCAGAGACAGACTGCTGTGACTGGTACTGTGTCACCTGTGACTCCACCACAAACCGCATCAACTCCCTCACCATATTCGCCGGCCAAGTCTCCGGTCAAATTCCGGCCCAAGTCGGTGACTTGCCGTATCTTGAAACACTTGAGTTTCACAAGCAACCCAATCTCACCGGACCAATCCAACCCTCCATTGTAAAGCTAAAGAGCCTGAAGTTCCTGCGCCTCAGCTGGACCAACATCTCCGGCTCTGTACCTGACTTCCTCAGCCAACTCAAGAACCTCACCTTTCTTGATCTCTCATTCAGTAACCTCACAGGCTCCATCCCCAGCTCGCTTTCTCAGCTTCCCAACCTCAACGCTCTTCATCTAGACCGTAACAAGCTCACAGGTCTGTTCTTCCTTGACATATATCTTTCTAAAAAGTGCCCAGAAAGAAAGATACAACTTTGTTCAAAATTTTCATATAATTTATCTTGATACCGATGGTTAATATTTTCCGTTAACTTCCATAGTTAATACCCTTGCTTGCTCACAGGTCATATTCCGAAGTCATTTGGAGAATTCCATGGCAGTGTTCCAGAGCTCTATCTCTCCCACAACCAGCTCTCAGGCAACATACCAACCTCATTAGCCAAACTGGACTTCAACCGCATAGACTTCTCCCGGAACAAGCTAGAAGGCGATGCATCCATGATCTTTGGATTGAACAAGACAACCCAGATTGTGGATCTGTCGAGAAACTTGCTGGAATTTTATCTGTCAAAGGTGGAGTTTTCCAAGAGCTTGATTTCGTTGGATCTTAACCACAACAAGATCACAGGTGGTATTCCGGTGGGGCTGACCCAAGTGGATTTGCAGTTCCTGAACGTGAGCTACAACAGATTGTGTGGTCAGATTCCAGTGGGCGGGAAGTTGCAGAGCTTCGACTCCTCCACTTATTTCCATAACCGCTGCTTGTGCGGTGCTCCACTCCCAAGCTGCAAGTAATTCCCGCGGCTATGGAAAATTTGGCCAACAATTTCATTGACACTTTGCAGTTATATAGGTGTTAATGAAATAGTGGCTTCATGCAAATAAGCAACCAGTGCTACAGGCTACAGCTTTGTGTAACAAGAAGAAAGGAATTAATAAGATTTGCTTTGTGCCTTTTGCCACCATATAATGAACAAAAATACGAGCAAGTAAACTTTATGCCAACAAATCATGTGCTCAAAATGAAAATAGAACAACTTTGGCAGTAAATGTTGTCTATACAATGTTAGGTACCTCGCAAATGAGAATACAACAGGAAATGGATGATATGAGAATACATCAGGAAATGGGTATTTCATGAAAGCGCCCCTTTTCCCCATTCTTTTTGGGGGTGTTCCAGATGTCAGCTGTATCTAGTTTTTTACAAGTTTGGTGTGAATTAGATCTGAAGATTAGCTTATCAGAATCAGTACAGGGCCTTCACATGTCATGCCAACGTCACAATGGAGACTCCTTCCATCGCAATCGGTCAAGTCCATCCACAATGGCCCTGCGGAACTCACCATTGTGGAGAAGGAAAGATGAAACATGGCCACCGGTGACCCATCTTACTTCTGAACCTGGCCAAGCTTTTTGCAGCTCCAGCACAGAGTGTTTTGGAATGTACCCATCATCCTAAAACATGAAAACAGTTGAAGGAAAAAACTCGTAAAGCTAAGCAAGACACAAAAACCAGCAAACTAAAGAAAATCTGTGAAATTATTGCACACTACAGAGATCACTTATTTATCAACAGTGAAATAGAGAGGCCAGTTTATCTCCAACATCAAAATTTAGATGGAAAAAAAATTTGAACACTAGAAGCCTATTAGGTAATGCAGAACCTCTACATTCCACAATGACTTAATGGGAGGACAAAAGAGAAACAGGAAGAAGAAGCTTCAAAGAATCTTTACATATATAATGGCATTTTTTGTTTTATCAGGAGTAGCATAAATTGGTCAGGTTATTATCAAAAGCAGGAAGTGGTTCCTACTAAGAAATAGGGAAAAGGTAGCCTGATTTTTTTTTCCTTTATAAAACACATCCGTATACTGAAATCTGATAAATACTTACAGTGGCAGAAACAAATATCACAGCATTCGGACTTTTTGGAATCGGAAAGCGTGTGACATCCGTGAGAGACAGAACATTGCGCATCCTTTCTCTCACCTCCTCGAGAGTCATTGCAGCCTTCTGCACTGCAAGATCCTCTCTCAGTGCCTCCCAAGCAGTGGCATGCTTTAATATTCCCTCACAGAATGCCACAACAGCAGAGTGTGGAGAGAGAAAAGGAAGAGTTGCAACAGGTGTAGGGTGCAGTGATCCAACCATTGCAGCATGTACTCCTCCTAGATTCCACAGAATATTTTGGGCCAAAAGAAGATTAATTAAATTGTGTGTGAGTGTTCCACTGCCAGGGGAAAACTCATTTGATTTATTTGAAAGGAATGAACGAATGCATTAATTTATAGCAGGTATAGAAAGAGATCTAGTTGATTCTTACCCATACTAAGTCCACAAACACCCATCTTTCCGAACCCTGCCTCAGAGTCTAACCAATGCAAGAGACTGCGAGCTTCTTCAATGGTTGCCTTTCCTAATAAAAGCAAGTCACTCACACACAAGAGTTTTGCCCCATGCTGCATCACAGGACGTCTTTGTCCATAGAAAGGGCTGCAATAACATATCTACCTTAATAGAAAAGCTGGAAACTACGCATAGTAATCATGCAGAACTCTGATTTCAATTGGAAAAAGTGTCAGACTGTGCAGTTTGATTTATACCTCTCGAGCACCATGGTTGCAATGTTTTCCTTCAATAATGGTCCACCAAGACGCAACCTTCTTTCAAATGTATGGTCCCCTGTTCCTGCAAAAAAGAAATTACAAATTGTAAACCCAAAGGCTATAAAATAATTCCATGAAGTGCTACTGTAAAGGAATTCTATTTGAACGGATACATAGTCATCCAAGAAATCCCTCCCGATGTTCTCAACATTACCACCCAAAGAAGAACTAATTACATTTCCCAATCAATCATATAGTTACCAGCAATGGCATACTTGAGATAAACAAAAAAATTTCATTCTGCAACCATATTCATCAATCTTTCAAGGAAAACAAGAACAATTCCAAACATGGTTTCCCAAAACTGGTTAGCACTTTATACTAAATATTACTCTTTGAAAACAGTACACAAGTAGAACAAAGTCCTATTTGAATTGTACCCGTTTTAAAATAAATAAACAAATCATACCAACAGTTCAAATTTTCTAGCAAATGATTTCTAAATTCTAAAATTTCAATGCTCAACAAATGAAACAGTGAAATCACCCAATGAAATGATTTGCTATACTTCAATCTTAGTTATTGCACAGACAAATAGAAAACCAGACAATACCTGCAAGATGAACCACACAGGCCATTTTCTGAGGGGGCACAGATTTTGGGAAGAGAAATGCAACTCTTGCATTGTGACTCTCAGGAGGCAATGCACTAAGAAGCTGCTCATCACAAGGTGTCCTGAAAACCCCTTCTCTAAGAGTAGCTGTCTGGCTCTCCCAAACTGTTTTCCAATTGGGTCGGATAACAGTGGGAGGCCAATTCTGACCTGCAACTTCTGGGAACAGCTGCTTGATCATTCTCTCAAGCAACTCAAGCTTTGTACCTCCCCACCCTCTTGAAAAAAATTGTGGGCTTATCTTTGTTCTGTGCATGAATGCACCATATACATGGTCCAATACATAGTGGAGCATACCAAGATTCACTGTCACCATATTTGAGAGATCCCCAAAAATTCTAACACCAAAATTTTCCCAAATTTTTTTTTTATTAATCAATTTGAACTAAACCCAAATGGTAATATTTGCAAATTCACTTTCTATAGCTCAAAATCTCATATAGACAGATAAGAACCCAGAATCCAAAGTGTTGAGAAAAATTTGAATTTGGAAACTTTCTCATATAAAATCATGATTTGGGATGAACAGATTAGAAATTACTTAACCAGAATAAGAAAATTTTGAATCTTAGAGAAAGCGCTAAACCTATAGGATTATAAATCAATAGGCATTCATAATCCAAAAATCAAGGAGAAGACGTGAAGATGAAATTGGTGAGACCAAAGAGACGATAGGAGACGGAGGTGGTGAGAGAGAGAGAGAGAGAGAGAGGGAAGAGATCTACCAAACGAAAACAAGCGAACAACAAAAACTATGGGCTGAGAATAGACCTGTCATTGACACGGTGGATTGGGTCCACGTGCCAACTCATGCTTTATCCATTCTTATTAGTTTATTTTGTGCTGCTTTCGATGATTCTAATAATACCTTTTAAAAAAAAAAAAAAAAATTTATAAAAAACTTAGGATAGCTTGGGGTATATTCCCTTGCTTGTATCGCGGCTGTTCTTTTGTGAAGCTTTGGCTTGGTTTGAACTTCGAAGCTTCGAAGTTTTGGGGCAAAGAAGTAAATAGGGAATAGATCTATATTTGGGGAGGCACATTTGAAGTACCTAGATAGGATACAGGAGCGGCAATTCGTTTTAATAGGGTGGAAACCTAGTTAACTCTAACCTTATTCATATATAATCGTGTCATGTTCGGATTGGCCCTTATTTCATATGAATAGAAAATTAAACGCTGAATTTCCATTATATCTTAATCAAAATTCATACTTATACATGTGTGTTTGAATAGGATAATAAGTTGTCCTCTGTTGAAAGATTATCACTTCATCTCACTACACTTTGATTGTGCCTTAAACTTGCTAAAAAGGATGGGGTTAGAAGTGGACTTTACTTTAAACTTCTCATTGTTTTGCTATATCCTTTTCGTTCTCCAATAATACATTCTTTATCCAATAAAAGCTAACTCAATCCTAAATACTACGTGTCAAAATAATAAAGAAAAAATTCCATAATTATACCATTACTCATAAAATACGTATTGAAAATAGGAAAAATGAATCATATGTTTCATATAAATAATAGTTAAACGTGTTGGTAATCTCAAAAGAGAATTACTCATGTATGGTTCTAAGAGCATGTTTAATGGGACTTATGTGCCCTGGGTTTGGTCCAAATCTGGCCTCAAATGGAAAGAAGAAGAAAAAAAAAAAAACAAAAAAAAAAAAAACCTTTCTAATGCATGTGTTTGGCCCAATCCAATTTGCCCCTGGTTTAGCCCAAGAGCTGGCTTGGGCAAGAGTGGGCCCCACAGTCAGCTTTTATTAAAAAAAAACAAAAAAAAAAGGAGCGCAGCTTTTACAAATGCAATTGTCTATGAGGCTCTGCCACATGGCGCTCCAAAAGCTACTTTTTCAACGGCAAATTGTTGAGTTGTTTTTATTTTTTATTTTTATTTTTTAAAATTTAAAATTTTTTATAGTTTGCAACAATTAGTTGCTTCCTAGGCTTGATGGGTTTTGTTCAGTTTGCAATGGCTAGTTCCTAGTTGCTTGATGAGTTTTTTTTTTTTTTTTCTTCTTCTTTTTTCCTCTTCTCTTCCAGGTTTCAACGGCTAGTTGAGCCTTGTTTTTACCCTTTTTTATTTAAATTTTAATTTACTCTAAACCTTTTTACTTGTTTGTTCTTTTTATATTTCTACATTCAAACCTTAATAAATAGGCTTTCATCTTCATCTTTTTCTCAAGGCTTATTTGTAGCAATGGTCTCTCAATTATACTCGGAGTTACATTTTGGTCACTCAACTCCAAAAATAATTACAGAGGTCACTCAATTAGGTGTTGTGTTGCACCATTAGTCTTTCAGTCAAACTCGGTTAAATTTTATGTCAAAACTGAGGGTAAATTCGAAAATTCATCCACAACTCACCCCTTCCTCCACAACCCTCTATTGCTGCAACCCAATCCTTGCCGACACCAAAAAAATTCAATTAAAAAGAAGCCGATACCTTCAGGCAGGCAAAAAGATTCAAGATCTCACATTTTAAGCAGCTTACGAGAACCCAAGTCACGTTCTTGTCCCAATTCAGTACTCACTCGCTTCTCCCAACAATCTAAAACAACCCAAAAAATAAATAAATCAGAAACCAATGAAATGAACGAAAACTAGAGAACAAATTCCCTCAAATGAAAACTAAGCGCAGGAAAAAGAACCAACCTTTGAATCCGATATGAGTATCGAGACCAACCCTTTTCCTGAATCACATATGTCTTCCATAATCTTTGAACCCAATTCAAATACACCAATTTAAAAACCGACCCTTTTGCAAGAACCACTAAATCTGACTCAAGGGCGCTAAAATTTGTAAACTTTTGGAACAAAAACGAAAAGGGTAAGTGCTGAAATGATGAATCTTTGGACCTCCTCGAGGGAGCAAACAAGAATGGAAGGTTGAGGTTGGGAGGGAAGAGGGGTTGGTGGTTTGGGTTTTGAAGTTCTGTGTAGCAGATCCGTGGGAATTTTATTATTTGATATTCAATTTGAATTTACGAATTTTGAAGTTGTAGAGAATAGGGAGGGTTGTGGATGAATTTCTGAATTTACCCTCACTTTTGACAGAAAATTTAACAGAGTTTGACGGAAGGACTAATGGTGCAACACAACATGTAAGACCCGTGTCTTGGGGAAACAAGAACGGTGAGCAATCTCACATCGCTCGAGGAGGGAAAGGTGAAGTGCTTAAATGTGTGGGCACTTCTCTTCCTAGCACGAGGCCTTCTGGGAGCTCACAAGCTTCGGATTCTTAGGAACTCTAAAGTTAAGCGAGTTGGGGGCTAGAGCAATCCCAGGATGGGTGACCCACTAGGAAGTTGCTCGCCCAGAAACAAAACCGGGAGGGCAGAGAGGGGGACCCAAAGCAGACAATATCGTGCTAGGGGAGTCGGGTCGTGACAAATGGTATCAGAGCCGGACCTCGACTGGAAGTGTGCCAGCGAGGACGCTGGGCCCTAAGGGGGTGGATTGTAAGACCCGTGTCTTGGGGAAACAAGAATGGTGAGCAGTCCCACATCGCTCGGGGAGGGAAAGGTGAAGTGCTTAAATGTGTGGGCACTTCTCTTCCTAACACGAGGCCTTCTGGGAGCTCACTGGCTTTGGATTCTTAGGAACTCCGAAGTTAAGCGAGTTGGGGACTAGAGCAATCCTAGGATGGGTGACCCACTGGGAAGTTGCTCGTGAGCTCCCAGAAACAAAACCGTGAGGGCAGAGAGGGGGCCCAAAGCGGATAATATCGTGCTAGGGGAGTCGGGTCGTGACACAACACTTAATTGAGTGACCTCTATAACTATTTTTGGAGTTGAGTGACCAAAATATAACTCCAAGTATAGTTGAGGGACCATTGCTACAAATAAGCCTTTTCTCAAATAAACTTATCTCTATACTTCAAAATCCAACACTTGGATACCTTTTCTTATCATTTCATACTGAAGAGACTGTTCAAGAAGATGAACCAGGATCGTGAAGAAGATGATGAGAGTAGACATCAGAAAAATGCTTTTATCCTTGGGACCATGGTCAAATTTCAAAGCTCCTCCTTTAATCCGCTCACCAAACCAGGTTCTCAAAACGGTCGCAAATACATCAACCGATATAGCGAAGACAATGACAAGATGCTTAGGAGAGATTATTTCGTGCCAAGACCGGTGTACTCATCCACTTGGGAAAACATTTCCAAAGCCCAATAATGAGAGGGAAAAAAATGTTTTCCAAGTATCAAGAGGCGTACCGTAAAGACGTTGAACAATGGTTTGGCTTTTGGGGGCTGCTCAAATGTGGAATAGGGCCACCCTTCAAACCATCATGATAGCTTGCGTAATCCTGCACAACATGATTGTGGAGGATAAGCGTGCCGAAGATGAAGAAGAGTTAGATGTAGAAGAAGTTGACACAATGAACCCAAGGAATGTAAGAATATATGAGCGACCAGATTATGAAGAACTCGAACCAGTGGGTGAGACGGACAAAATCTTGGCGGCTTTATGGATCGTTATGCACAAATTAGGTCTGATTATGTTCATGAAGGGTCTCTAAAATGATGTAGTTGAGCATGTGTACCAAAGGCATGTATATATGCTGTCTTAGTAACTATGGCTCAAAATTGTTTATCATTTTTCATTTTGCTCAAAATTGTTGTTCCAAATTATGGCTCAAAATTGTTTCAAAAAATAAACTTTTGTGTTTCTTTTCTTATGCTTTGAAATTTTTTTTTTTATAATCATAAATAATAAAATAATAATAAACTAACATAAGAAATTTTTAGTTTTAGCCCCTAGCTCCTAGCCCCTCACCACCACTAGAACCACAAAAAATTTGAGAGGCTAGATTTTGTGAATAGTACCATTTTGAGGGACTAAAACAACACCTAGTCCCTTACCCCTTGCCTTTGCATTAGACATGCTCTAACCTAATTCATTCATTATTCGTGTTAGTTGACTATGTCATATACATGTTGGATCTTTCAATTGGTTGGAGTTACTCATGTTTATCTGCAAGTCAATACCCTTATCTACTGAACTAGAACCCATTCACAAGTTTATGTTGGTATTAAATTGTGTTTGCAAAGTCTACACAACATGATGGCAAAACCCCATAGATTTGTTAATGAAAAAGATCCCTTGTTTCAACCAAAATAAAAGAAAGATCCCTTGTTGCAACTTGTCATCATGATATATATATTTTTTGGTCTGATCATCATGATCAAGTATTCCATTTATTGTGAATTCCACTTTTGATTTTATAATCTTATCTTATTGTGTTGCCTTAAATTATGGTCTCCCACTAGTTGTTTGGACTGAATGCAATATTCCAAATTTGCGTTATTGCCAAACTGCACATTAGGTTGGTGGACCTGGCTGGAAGCCTGCAGTAGGAGAGAAAGGTATATGTATGAGGGAAGCCCCAATTACTTAATAGATTAGATTCAATGTCAGATTAATCTCCCACCATTCATTCATGTGGTATTTCTTAACATCTAAGATCAATCATATCAGCTCAGACCAATAAAGGGGAAAGATCAAAACTCAAAAGGGTAAGAAAGGGACATAAAAGAAGAACCACAGTAAATTGATAAGAGTGTATGAATTTTTCACCTCCCCTATTTAAAAGTGGCGGAATGCAGTAATGTCCCAAAATCTTCATTTGGTCAAGCTTGTGAAAATATTTTTGCCATAACATTAATTGACCTTCGATCAACAAGATAAAAAGGGATTGAGCCTAG